GGGGGGGGGCGCATCACAGAAGGCGTCTCCAGCTGCAGTATGGTATGGATAGAACCGGACCACCGGACCTTGGCTGTATAGTTTTTCCACTACATTATTTTTTTTCTCGTCGTTTCCCCCGTTTTTCCCGCTGTTAATGATGCTTTGGAACTCCTTCCTGTTTGCCCGCTGCCTGCGGACTGCGAGTTGTTGGCGCTGACTCATTGTAATATGGTTTTATTGTTCGGGGTCGAGGAGTTTGGATATGTAGCAGGGGGTTGGCGGCGCAGCGTAGGGAGTTGGCGGGTGTGTGGAGGAGTGTCTCTGTGAAGAATATTTCCAGGTATTACTGAATAGTTATGAGCGTTGTTGTTGTTGTTGTTGTTGTTGTTGTTGTTGTTGTTGTTGTTGTTGTTTACCCAAGACAAATAAATGATGGGATGGCTTTAGCTTCACTGGCTTTAAGTGTGGATTCAGAGTTCACGAAACGCAAGCGTTATTTTCACGCCAGGCGTGATTTTCACGCTTCGTAAGCTTCACGCAGCCAATCGGGGATCGACTTCCATCACGCCGGGCGTGAAAATCACGATGTGCGTGAGAATCACGCTCGCTTTTAGGGAACTCTGAATCCACCTTTAACCGAGACTGAATCGATTGTGAGCACTTGAGAAAAAACAACGGAAAATCAACTGACAACAGCGGCAACAATTTTCCGGACGTGTCCGTACCCTAAATTTAGTTCTAAGGTCGAAGCAAAACGGTCGTTCCGGGTTGTTCCGTACCTCATTTCTGGGGTGCGGAGCAACCGTATCACTTATGTAACGGATGTAAGCGGCAATTATTTTCCGGACGCGTCCGTACCTTACATTTTGTTACATGTTCCAAACTCAAACGGTTCTTCCGTTCCTCTTTAAAAAAGTATGCCATAACGGAATGTCCGTTGCCAGTCCCGTAGTATCAGATGATTTTTTTACAGTGAGGTCTGCAACCCGCTGCAATTTTGAGGCAAACGCCGAGCGCCCTAGTGCTCTATATGGGAGACGGTGAGGAAGGGGGGAGGGAAGTCTCTTTACCCTTTGGTAGAGAGATAGTCTTGAGGGACTGTCTAAAAAAATAGAGTCAACTTCTTTAACGTAAGGCAATTTATTCGCCTTGTCTCGAAGAACCGATCTTCTGGGTGTGCGAAGGGCTCTCTCTCCAAGCAGCGCTGAGAGATCTGTGCCGAACGGGAATGGGCGCGATAGAATACAAAAAGGGCAATACCCACCCAGGGCCGGGACGGCCCGGGCGTAAAGTGGATGAGGCCACTGTTCTCCCTCAACGGTACGCGGCCAGAGTGAGGGCGGCGCCCTGGACTCGAGAGCTGCTTCGATTGTCGCACTTATGCACGGCCTCATTTTTAGAGGGGAGGTATGGTATTTTCCCCCCGCTCTCTGTTTGCATTATCGTTTGATAATGAAAGTTTTCTTGCCAGTCATACCCCGTCATAGACAAAGTCACACATATTGGGGCCGTCCATAATTACGTCCGTTTTTTTTTCCTGATTCATTCGGCGAAATACACGATACACGGGAGCTCGGCGCCCGCGATACTCCGGGTAGGCCACCCCGCCGTACACGCTTGCACTGCAGGCAAGATGTTGCCTACCTGTAAGGCGCTATATGAGCTTGCACAGGCTGAACTTGGCACGGGCGATCCCTATGGGGGTGAATTTATCATGATGATCACCCGGAAAGTACTTCCGAATAAAGTTTGGTATGAAAACAGTTTCCTACCCCGTAATTTTCGAATACCTCCTTCGCCTTCGACGAGAACTCTCGCACGGAACGTTCCATCGCCTTTCACTGTGAAAAAAGTTTCTTATTACAAGACTGTGTCTTGGATCTTATGGAGAACGCCAATGGCATCCAAGACCAGGTCTTGAAATACAAGAAACTATTTTTACCGTATTCTGTTCGTTAAACAAAAAGAAGAGCCCCCCCCCCCCAAAAAAAAAATAATAATATAATAATTCCATGTCTGTCATCCCTTTATCGCAGTAAAGAGAGGGCGAGGGCGGCCGGCATCATCATGTACGGGCTGCTGCTGGAGAACATGTCGGACTACATCATCACCAAGTACGGCGCCGAGCGCTGGGAGGAGATCCGCCGACTGGCCAGCGTGGAACAGCCGTCCTTCAGCGTGCACCAGGTGTACCCCGAGAACCTCATCCCCCGGCTGTCCAACAGGGCCATCGAGGTATACCCCACCTTCCCACTTAAAAAAAAAAGAACAGTTTTTACAGAAGTTTTTCCCCCTTTTTTTACAAAAGTTGTTTTTTTTTTAATTTTTGAAAAGTTTTTTCCGTATTTTGGTTTGCAGGTCCTGGGCGTGACGGAGAAGGAGTTCTTCGAGGGCATGGGCGTGCACTTCGTGGGCTTCGTGAGCCAGTACGGCTACGACCGGGTGCTGTCGGTGCTGGGCCGACACATGCGCGACTTCCTCAACGGCCTGGACAACCTGCACGAGTACCTCAAGTTCTCGTACCCGCGCATGCGCGCGCCCAGCTTCATCTGCGAGAACGAGACACGGCAGGGGCTCACGCTGCACTACCGCTCCAAGCGCCGCGGCTTCGTGTACTACACCATGGGCCAGATCAAAGAGGCAAGCAATCCACCGCAGAATTATTTTGAAGCAGTTACCTTTTTTCTTAAATATAAGTTACTGTTCTACGTAAGTTACTTTTTTTACATGAGTTACTTTTTCTAAAAGAAGAGTTTCTTTTTTAGAAAAGAGTTTTTTTTTATTTTACAAAAGAGTTTCTTTTTTTTTTACAAAAAAGTTTTTCACAAACGTTTTTGTTCTTACTTTTTATGTTTACAAATGTGTCTTGTTTTACAAAAGTTGCCTTTTCTTTTCGTCGATGGTTTCAGGTGGCCCGTCATTTCTACCGCAAAGAGATGGGCATCGAGGTGGTGCGCGAGGAGCTGCTGGTCGACACGGTGCACGTCACCTTCCAGCTCACGTTCGACAACCGCGCCTTCGGGCTCGCCTCGCTCACCATGACCCGGGAGGAGAAGCACCTCCCCGTCAGCGCCTCGGTGCTCTTCGAGATCTTCCCCTTCTGCATCGTGTTTAGGTGAGCGCGGAAGCTGTAGCTCCCCGGCAAATAGTTGCATTACCTCCCTTGTTCCAATCCCTCAGCCAGCCGCCTGTGGGTCGGTGCATAGGCCAGCCCGCAAGGCAGTGGTGCGGTCGAGGAGCCTACCCCCCAGGGGTTTGTTGCTCTCCAGAGGCACGAATGGGAGAGGTGCCAACGTTGACGGTGCACAATGCGCACCAAAACCCTCTCACCAAACCACATGACTCCTTCATATTGATTTGATATCCCCCCCCCCCTCTTTCCCCCAAACTCTCCCCGGATCAAGGTATGTTTTTGTAGGAGACGCACAAAATATTTGAGGCACTGAATTCATATCTCATAGAACTTCATTTATTTCTAATTATGTATCCATTTTTACTAGGCGTACATTTGATTTTGAATCTTGCCTGCTAGCCAGGTGAGCGAAGTTTGGCTTAAAATCTCCGAAGAGTTTCCAGTCTTCTCCAAAGTGTAGCAATCCATTCCTCCGTATCTCCGCAAGTCACACCGAGACCTCTCTGTCTCCATCTGGAAGTGTCGCTCCAGCTCCCAACATCTTTCTTCACTCCTCGTTGATTTCTTTGAAGAGCGTACTAAAGAATTCCGGATCCTCTGTGAACAGAAAGCGTGAAAGAAATAAATGAAAAAAACATAACATTATAATGATTACGATCTTTTCGGGCGCGAGGGAGACGAAAAAAACGGACCAGCAAATAAATCTATAAATCAAATACGCATAAAGCTTTAGAAAGCGTTGAGGGCGAGCGCGCATGCGCCGTTGGGTTCCAGCGCCTGCCCGACGAGTGCGGGGGGTGGGGGTAGGGGGGTGG